GTCCTGGGATGTGTCCTGGGATGGGCCCTGGGATGGGCCCTGGGATGGGTCCTGGGATGTGTCCTGGGATGGGCCCTGGGATGGGCCCTGGGATGGGTCCTGGGATGTGTCCTGGGATGGGCCCTGGGATGGGCCCTGGGATGGGTCCTGGGATGGGTCCTGGGATGTGTCCTGGGATGGGCCCTGGGATGTGTCCTGGGATGTGCCCTGGGATGTTCCCTGGGATGGGTCCTGGGATGTGCCCTGGGATGTGCCCTGGGATGTGTCCTGGGATGTGCCCTGGGATGTGCCCTGGGATGTGCCCTGGGATGGGCCCTGGGATGTGCCCTGGGATGGGCCCTGGGATGGGTCCTGGGATGTGTCCTGGGATGTGTCCTGGGATGTGTCCTGGGATGGGCCCTGGGATGTGCCCTGGGATGGGTCCTGGGATGGGTCCCGGGATAGGTCCTGGGATGTGTCCTGGGATGGGCCCTGGGATGTGTCCTGGGATGGGCCCTGGGATGGGCCCTGGGATGTGCCCTGGGATGTGTCCTGGGATGTGCCCTGGGATGTGCCCTGGGATGTGTCCTGGGATGGGTCCTGGGATGTGTCCTGGGATGTGCCCTGGGATGTGCCCTGGGATGTGTCCTGGGATGTGCCCTGGGATGTGCCCTGGGATGTGCCCTGTGCTCTTCGCAGTAAATCACTGAGTGATGAAGAAAACCGGAAGGTTTTTGGGAAATGCAACAACCCAAACGGCCACGGGCACAACTATAAAGGTGAGGAGGGAATTCCAGCTGTGCAGGGAGGGGTGGGCAGGTTGGGATGTGGAGTCACTCCTGGGAGGGCCAGGCCAGTCTTGGCTCAGCAGCCTGCTGGGGCTGTTGCTATGGCTGTTGCTGGGGCTGTGGCTGTTGCTGGGGCTGTTGCTGGGGCTGTGGCTGGGGTTGTGGCTGTTGCTGGGGTTGTGGCTGTTGCTGGGGTTGTGGCTGTTGCTGTGGCTGGGGCTGTTGCTGGGGTTGTGGCTGTTGCTG